GCATTGGCGTTGCATGTCATTAGCAGCTGCAAAATGGATTTACATGGCTGATATCCTGAAAAAAGAGTGACAATCAAATAAAACTAATTGGAGAGCTTACGACTGAACAAAAAGGTCATGTTCATTTGAGAATAAAACAAAGAACCAGACATTAGAGACAGATTCCCTTCCCCTCTTTATTGCAGGATTGTGATCTGTGATGAATCAACATTGAATAATCATTTTTAAGTTAACAATTAAAACAAGTTTAAACACTTCACTTCAAAAAATCAACACTTTCATATAATTTCAAAGTGTACAAGTAAGCTAACTCATATGTAAAAGGTTAGACATCTTAGTAACAAGTAGGCTATTATTACTAAAGCATAATTTCAGGTGAACAAAAAAAAGTAAATACCAGAGGTGGTCAACCTCGCTCACTGATCCCCGATCTACTGGGTGAACAGACTTCTGTTCCAGCCCAGCAATAGCACACTTGATTATCAACTAGCTAGGTTTGATAAATTGAAATCAGGTGTGTTAGTGCTGGGCTGGAACAGAAGCCTGCACACCCAGCAGGGTTGGCCTGCTCCAGTTGTAATAGGTTGTGTGCAGGGATGCACCCTTATTCTCTTGGAACATTCATTGGGACATCTGCAGACAGGGCATCTCAGGACAGAAAACATCCCAAAGAAACAGGCTGCATTATACTCAAATTAGACAGCACTGAATATTATGTTGCTAGATCTCTCTGTCCTCAGTTTTTCTCACTAGGGACTGGAACTGGATAGTATTTTTATAATGTCCTCCCAAAAAGGTACAGTACCTGCCCTATCCAGAGTAGCCTTCTACTCTCCTTTCTCTGACAGCTGGAACTGCTAGCTAATCCTTTCACCCTCCTCCATGGCTGTTTTCAAGTTACAACAATAAATACATCAAGATGGCTAGCTAACTAGCAAATATGAAGTTAGCTAGCTGGTGATATTTAATTCACTTGGCTAGCTATACAGTATGTAAAGTTATCTAGCTAGTGAACAATATGTTAGCAGCTCATTTGAGTTAGCCTGCACACAAAGTTCCTGTAGCTATCATTTTCTAAATATATTTACTTATTTAAATAGGTTCTCCCACTGCCTCCGTTTTCTGGGTCCTTAGAAAAACTAAATAATGGGCAATCTTCCAGAAGTTTCAGGTGGTAGCAAAACGCAGCTAGCCATGTGGATGATTGGAGGACTTAAGTTCCACCAGACTGACTCTGGTCTTCCAACATGGCGCTTGGTGCGGTTGCTAGGTGATTTGTGACGCAACTGCAAGCCCTCTATAGGAGAGTATAAAGGCCTGGTAGGCAGGGCTACCCAAACAATCATACGGCAATGCAAACCTTGGACAGATTCTCAGCTTCTGGAAATAAATATGGTTGTCTCTCAACCATTCGGAAATAGACATTGGACCAATGTCTTCGGGATGTTTGGAAAAGTCTGTGTCAGGTTTTCTAAAAACAGACACGTATCATGCCCTCCACTACTTCCAGAACCTCACTGGTGATCTCATTGTTCTTACTCAGGTGATAGGAGGATAGCTTTCTGCATATAATTTTACTCTAGTTTACTGTAATAGTAATATAACATCCAAGTTGCAGCAGTTTTGGAAATAACTGTTATTAATATTAGTATTGTGATTTGTATGTTTATTAAAATTAAAGTTATATAATCAGGTGTACATTCCCAGCAGTGTCCAAAAGAGTTGAGCAGAAACCAAAGCGATAACTTAGGCTATATTATCATTATTTGACTAGTAGCCTAATATAGGCCTAAACGGTCTTAGAATTTGTATGTAAAACTACACCCAGAATCTGGAAAGAAGTGCATGCCTGATGCCCCGTTATTTCAAGATGTTGACAAGTGTTCAGGTCCAAAGAAAAAAGAAACCTGGAAATGTAAAAATATTAAATTATCTTTCCTTCTAATTTTCTTTAGATGAATGCAACAAAGTCGCACTGTAATCTTTTCTTGCAGCAACTGTTTTGGTAAAATGTAATTTGATACTCCCTTTGTTTTTACCTTTCCTGACCAGAGCAGCCAGCGAACGAAAAAAATATAACTGAACTTTAATAGAAGAAAAGGGTTTTGTGGCATGTACTTTCCTACAATATACAGATGTGGTCGGTCCTCTACTGTAGAAAAAACAACTTGGTGACTCACATAGTGTTTGTTCGGATTTCTCCTCTTCTGGACATCTTGAACTGTTACTTCGTGCACGGTCCGCCTTGGCATGATGTTCTCTTTCAGAGCCTCCACTAAAAACAACAGCCCGGTTTTGGAACGATCAGACCCAAATGACAAAGTTTACGCACCCCCTTTTTGTCATTCGCGTGGGTCAGATCCTTGATTGCTGAATGCAACAAATGCGATTTCGTAGATGTTCCACGTCAGATTTCCTGTCCCATATTCTCTTCTTGCCCCGTCCCGCAGTTGGCTATGTCCGAACTTCTCTGAACCAATCTCCCAGCCTATCCCAGCTCACCGACTCTAGTTTGATAACTGGAAAGTCTACACCACCGACCAGCCCCGTCTGCGACTCTTTAAATCAGGATGACGTTTATTGGGATGAGTCTTGTCCTGGAGGCAGAACTGAGCGATTTCCGCTAGATACAATAGTGTGTGATTGCGGCCTGCAATTCGGGGCGTTCCTGCATGTGGGCAATACTGCATCTGCATGAACGCCCCCTCGAGCATCCCATTGGTTCCTGCATGAAGGCCCCCCTTTAGCATGGTATTGTCGTGCTTGTATGACACTTTTGATATTCTGAATTTCCCCTGATAGTCTATGCTAAGTCCTATCTTAAAAATGTACCAATACAAGTATAAAGAGGACTCCCCAAATTGCGGGCCACATTTACACCCTTCTCGCTAGATGGGGCAAAGTCAAAATTGGCTATATTGTAAAGATTCATGAAAACTAAAATTGGCTTTTTGGTCTTACTTTAAGGTGAGGGTTAGGCATTAAGGTTAGCAGTGTGGTTAATGTTAGGGTTAAGGTTATGGTTAGGTTTAAAATCAGATTTTATGACTTTGTGGCTGTGCCAGCTAGTGACCACTCTGCAGAGCTGCCTCCAGGGCAAGATTCATGATGGAAAACGCTGCCTCTTTAAAGCGAAAGGAGCACCACAGTCAGCAACAAAGAGGAGATCCAGTATTTCAAAGGTTATTATCCAGGATATAAGCATGTTCAAATCTCATATTGAAGTTTACTGGGTGAATGTCTTTGGGCAACTTTTATTTTTGATACACTTCTTTATGAAGTGGAATTGATCCCAAAGCTGTGGGGAAGGAGCCAGATTGTAACTGATTTTCAGCCTTTACTGTTATAACCCATCTATACAGTTATTATTACTAATTTACATTCTGGTTATTGTGTGATTAGCCTATAATATACTGTGTACAAAACATGACATGGACTCACCAGGTGAAAACTATGACCCCTTAATGATATCACCTGTTAAATCCACTTCAATCAGTGTAGATGAAGGACAATGGGAAAAGGGGATACCTAGTCGGTTGTACAACTGAATGCATTCAACTGAAATGTATCTTCATCATTTAACCCAACCTCCCTGAATCAGAGAGGTGCGGAGGGCTGCCTTAATCGACATCCACGGCGCCCAGGGAACAGTGGGTTAACTGCCTTGCTCAGGGGCAGAAGGACAGATTTTTACCTTGTTAGCTCCGGGATTTGATCCAGCAACCTTTCGGTTACTGGCCCAACGCTCCTACCCGCCAGGAAGGGGAGGAGACAGGTACATTTTTTTATTTTTAAGCCTTGAGACAACTGAGACATGGATTGAGTATATTATGTGCCATTCAGAGGGTGAATGGGCAAGACAAAATATTTCTAAACCACACATATGTCTGGCAAGTTTCCCTCATGCCCACAATAATTCTAGACCAACAGCAGGGTGTAGAAACCCAATGCTCTTATCTGTAACGCAACATCAGTGGCTGGTCTTCTTTTCTCTGTCATCAATAAATATAGGTGACACATCAATGGATGAGGATGAGCCATCCCTGAAGGTTGTGGTGGTGGTGAGCCAAAACTCACACAAGCTGCTGCTCCTCACTCAAGCTGCAGCTGAGCTGTTGCTCATGTGTGTCACCAACAGGTGGGTGGTGTATGTACAAAACCTACTGTATAACCTCTGAGCTAAGCATATAAACAATGCAGGTATAATGGGTTGGCTCAGGGCGGCAGGTAACCTGGTGGTTAAAAGTGTTGGGCCAGTAACCGAAAGGTTGCTGGTTTGAATCCACGAGCCGACTAGGTGAACAATATGTCGGTGTGCCCACCACCAAGGCACTTAACCCTAATTGTACCTGTAAATTGCTCTGGATAAGAGCATTGACAAAACTGTAGAAGGTAATACAATGGATAAAGACAAGATGCTAATGATTTGGCATCCTCAGTGATAGAGATTCTGTTTTGGAATCCTTTCTAAAGTCCCATTTCAGATATTTACTGTGAGGAGGTTGATCAGGTGATAAAGACCAAATGGCTTTTGGCACGTTTTCCCACAAGATATATCTGACAGATAAACACTTCTATAATTTGCATTGAATCTGAGTGGTGCCGTGAATAATATGCTCTTAATGTGAAATGCCCCAAAATTATGTTGTCTCTACCATCTGTGTAGCATTGAAATTAGCTCACTTGCAAAGCAGAGCACATTTCTTTCTGTTTTTGGCTGGATTGACAATGAATGGCACCTTTGTTGTAAGGAGTACATGGACTATATCTTCCTTTTGCCCGTCTCAAGCAAAAGAAGATCAGCATCTGTCAAACAGAGCTGTCTGATCTTGATGTGAATCCACTTGTTTGAAGGGCACTCTATACTGGCAAATATAAAGATGCAATCCTTCTCTGTTGCACATGGAATTACTGATATAGTAGGGCCTACTTGGTCGCTGTGTCTTTCCATTTCAGTTGAGCATTGATTAGATGCGCAGAAATAGTGTGTTATAAAGAGTGTTTGTTTTGCCTTTTTTATTGAACAGCCAGTACATTCATATATGGAAAAACACAAATACATTTAGAAAGACACAATTGTTAAAATTAGCTGAAAAACACACAATTAAGGGTGTTGGAGTACTGTTTATCCACTGTGTTTGCCTTCTTTTTTGTTAACGGGTGCTTCCAAATAGTAGGCCCTACACACACTTTAATTGAAGTTGGCATGGATGAGCTATTTTTGTGATACATTTTCAGCTCAACACAGAGGTTTGTGTTGAGATGTAGCATCATCTTGTGGTACATTATGAATACTGAATCTAGGAACATTTTGTTGTTTAATGCCCTCTGATGGTTTAAAGGAGAATTGCAGTTGTACTAGGCCCATTCACTCACATTGGAGGACCATAGAGACGAACACCAAGATACATTTTGTTGTTGTTTATCTATTGTACTAGGGATGTGGTCAAAGTGAATGGGTGGAGAGAGGTTTTTTTCATCATCTATTAGGGAAATCAGTATTTGGGTTTCAGAAAAAGTGTGTGTCTGGTATATTTCAGTTTTAATAAGAGCGGTATCTACAAGTACAAAACGTCAGTATCTGTGGCCCCAGCCTCAATCTATAGAGGCCTGTCACATGTGGCCAGGAGTGTTTCAGATGTATGGTGACGGGTCGGAGCGGTCACACATCTGAAGCTCCATGTGTGAAGTGATGCCAGAGAAGCGCTCCTGTAGGGGCAGCAGGTAACCCAGGGCCTCCCCCTGAGAGATGGGCCCCATGTAGCGGTATGGACGGATGTTGAAGATCTTTACACAGTACTCTGTCATACAAATTAAGAAAAGACTGTTAATGTAAGGGGGATGACTCGGTGAACAACCCTTGCATGATGAGTAACCTTGAGCAACCTTCCCTGAAGACCTGAAGACTTTAGCTCAGTGGGACAATACAGTCTTGTGATGCACATCAGACCCTGGTTATGATAAAGTGTGAAACAATAATAATATAAACAACACCCATTTAGTCCCAGATCTGTTTGTGCTTTTGCCATGATAGCAAAAACAGACTGGCTCTCACACTAACAAACATTAGGAAGCCATGGAAAACTGCTTCTTCCTTAATTCTTCAACACTGCCCTGCAGTCAGATTATAGTTTATTTGTTCCCTGTGAGGCCTAATCATGCTACAGTTTGGAGAAAGATGAAAGAGTCTGACAGAACATGTGTTCCTCCCATACTGCGGTTCAATTAGAGGTAGCGAGGACCAGAATAATGTTGTTTACCCGTTCCTGCGCTGCTGCTTATCAGGCAAGGATGCACACGGCTAATGCAGACGCATGGCTGTGCCCTTAATGACGGCCATTACTGGAGATAATTATGCATTAGCTGCCTTTGATAGGAATTCAAAAGCAGCCAGGTCCAAGTGTCAAAGGCAAAGGGGAGCTCGGTGGAATCTCAACCCACCTCCACTACTGTGGCTTATCCCTCCAAATCCCTCATAATTTCCTCCATAATGAGACATCAGCCTCTGGCCTGGAGAGAACATAGGCCTACCTAATGCCCCATTACATACTACTAGGTCATCTAGAAAGGTTATAATAAATAGTTAGTGCTGTTCAAGGTTCCGCTCTCACGGTCATGGTATAGGAGCATCCTTGAGTTACCAGTCTCTTGTGTGGTTTTTGCTGATTGGGAAATCTACGGCAATGAAGCTACAAGTGTATACTGTACAGCATGAAGTGCTCACCGGAGTTGGAGAGTTTAACGCCATCGTACTGGATACCGACCACTGGCCCCCTCAGGGTACCTGAGAAGGGGGAGTTGACAATGCTGTAATCGTCACACACCACATCCACTGCCTTGTGGAGGCTGTCACCGTCTCTGTGAGAGAAAACATACGAAACATATTATCCTTTTAAGCAAATGCATATTCAGACATGCCTATTTACATTTTAGTAGACACTCTTATCCAGAGAGACTTACAGGAGCAATTAGGCTTAAGTGCCTTGCTCAAGGGCACATTGACATATTTTTCACCTAGTTGGCTTTGGGGAATCAAACTAGCAACCTTTCGGTTACTGACCAAATACTCTTAATCTTAACCGCTAGGCTACTTGCCACCCTATATATTTCAACCTATATTGTCAATAATGTAATGTAACCCATCTTTCTGTGGTTTAAACATGAGCAGTGTCAAGCTCAGAGAGGTATGATAAGCTCTGTGAAATGTCCCCAAAAGAGAAAAAAATAGGCCCCCTCCCACCTTCTAGAGTTGAAGCCCCCACAGCCAAACACGTCACAACCCCTCACTCTGTTGTTATGGTGACCAGCACACAGGACGCTCCAAGCCCCGGCTGTAGAGACAAGACATGAGACTGTGTTAGCACTGAATATAACAGAAAGCCAATAGACTCCCAATGTGAATTACCAAGCAGAGAGTAGTGTCTCACCTGGCATACAGCACTGGTGTGTCTTAGGTACAGCACACTTGTCCTTCAGGTACCTCCCCTGACAGACGTAGGAACTGTGTTGGCAGATGCCACCGATGCTGGAGCAGACAGTGTCGTTCCAAGGCTCCTTGTCACTTTTTGGACTTCCTGTCTCTTTGCCTTTGACATTTTTGTTTTGGGTCAGCTTCTTTCCTTTCTTGTTGTTTCCCACTTTTGGATCCCTTTTGACCTCAACAACATCTCTGACATTCTTCTCCTTATCCTTCTTCACCCTTCCATTACTTTGCTTTTCACGTTCAAGAGCAAAACCAAACAGCAGGACTTGGATGTAGGAGAGCGAGAGCGAGAGAGAGAGAGGGGCGGGGTGGGGTGGGGGGGATTTCTCAATCACTCTCAATTAATAATAATAATATATAATAATATGCCATTTAGCAGACGCTTTTATCCAAAGCGACTTACAGTCGTGCGTGCATACATTTTTGTGTATGGGTGGTCCCGGGGATCGAACCCACTACCTTGGAGTTACAAGCGCCGTGCTCTACCAGCTGAGCTACAGAGGACCTCACAATTAATTAACTTGTCCTGCAACAAGTAAAAGTATGCAGGGGCCACCACAGGAAAAATCATAAAGAGGATGATCACAATTAGCGCTAACTTCTAAGCGTAGAGGTTAATGGTCAGGTTGTAGTTATTCTGACCAGCAGCCATTGCTCCCACCCAGACCTCAACACTAGTGTTGGATCTTCATGAACTCTATTACCCTCAACGCCACAATGAATTTCCAATCAGTCATGGCACCTGAACACACAGGCCTTGTAATTGAAATGTGCTACTTATCACTAAGGCATAGTCAGGCCTTACAGAAAGCAAGTTTCTCTGGCACACTCAACACCATTGTAACCTCGAGGAAAAGCAGTGGGGTTTGCTTTTCTAGATAAATCAATCCTAATGGATTACACAGGCAGCCCCTGATATGAACAAACAGGACAGACACAACTAACTGCACATGCTGGTCCACATGGACTTGTCGTTAGGTTAAATAGCACTCACTGGTAGTTTTTATACAACCAGGAGGAGCCCTGTTTAGGGGCACTTAGACAACACATCTATTTACATGGCAGAGTGTCTTATTTTACTTTCTGAAGAGACAACTATGACAGACAGTGGAAGAGTTTCATTGCCCTAATAAGATGGATGCTGTTTGTTGCTCACCAGTCCTTCAGAGCCACTCTGCCAGCTAGCACCTAGCACCCTTGGTTAGATGTAATGTTGCATGAAACACTCCATCATGCTGTAAATACAGTAATTCCACCAATAACCTGCTGCAACCCCCGAGGATTTTGTTTACATTCATTTTTCAGCCACTTAATATGGTTCTCTTCATGCACAGTTGTTGTGGGGGTGCTAGGCACTGAGTGTGTTTATTGTTTTGACTGAAATCCACTTTTAAATGCAACCCCTCTTCCATGGTGCATGGTGCATGCTCTAACAGGCTGGTAAAGTAGCCTGTATTTGCTACTGGACTGTATACTTACAGCATACAAGAAGAGCTGAGATCATGGAGATTCTAAACAGCATTCTGGCAGTTTGGACTGGCACTCCAAAACCTCCAAAATAAGGATAGAAACAGAAACCAATTTGTTATGTAATGCTCGGCAAGCTTTCGATTTTGAACAGTTTTATTAAAATAGAAGACTGAATACATTCTCAAATAGATAGATCTAAGATACTTTATTATAGCCAAAATGTAAAGCTACATCTTGATAGTAAAGTGTATCCAGTGCTTACCAGTTCTGTGGAGGAGTTGTGTGGATGCAGTGAGGGCAACACAAAGAGAAGACTGTGTGAAACCAGGTCAGCCCAGTCTTGAGTATGCATCCCTCCTGGCCACAGGACGTTCCACCACAGTCAATATTGATATTGGCATTTAAAAAACATATCCACCGGCCAGTCTCTCACTCTCTCCTGAAGGGACTTCTTCTTCACTGTGTTACCGCTCCTAAAGAAACTACTCTAACCAGGCTAACCTTACCAGATCTATGCCATTCATTACTACTATGACTTTTATTCATTGTAATCTTCATCATCATCATCATACTCAGCATCATCACCTCTCCATCAGAACCAAAACAGTAGTTTTCTCCTTCAGCACCATACCAGTGTAATCTTATCTCCAAAACACATGTTTTATCCTGCAATAATACAGTTTTACATGTGACCATGCCATGTCAGCATTAGTATGGATGGAAGCCTATGAGTCTCGTGGGTACATCTCACCGCTGCATGCCCCCTGTCAGAGCTTTACTTAACAAGATAAAAAATACATTATTCTCGAGCTCATTGTGCCCAGCATCAGCCCAACATCTATTATGAGATAATTAGCTTGAAACAAGCACACAATGCAACTACATTCAATCAATATAATGAATTTACTCTCCTCTAATTTGGCTATTCAAATGCTGCCACGTGGACATAGCACATGATGGGCAATCTGTTTAGAGCCTCTTTGATGTCAGGCTGTTAGGCCTAGTACAGCTGGGGTTATAGAGTCTCTCTCTCTCTCTCTCTCTCTCTCTCTCTCTCTCTCTCTCCTCTCTCTCTCTCTCTCTCTCTCTCTCTCTCTCTCTCTGCCCTGGGGGTGTTATAGGACTGGACCAGGCCACTTGATGGTGTGTCGACACACTCTGAATCTTAATGTGGTGGGAGGAAAGGGGTTTTGGTGGCAGAGAGAGTTGAGCCTTTTCAGCCAGGCGGCTTTGATAATCAAATATCTCTTGGGGGTATTATGCTGATAAACCATATGGCAAGGAATTAGAAAGAGATGGGAAAAAGAGAGGAGAATGAATGGAGCCGTAGCTAGCTCTCAGCCAGCAACGTAATCTAACACTTCATCCTGGGCAGAGATGGGGGTACGTTGGCTCAGAGTGACTTTTCGGTACATGCACCACATTCCCTAAAACTCCTCGGAGGATACGAGTGACATTTCACTCTGGCTGCCTCTTTCAGTCAGTTTGTTCTGGCTTCTTCAAGGAGACAGAGAGAGAGGGGAGGAGAAGCCACAAGTGTTTCCTAGCAACAGTGTGTCCGCAGCAATCCCCCTTCCCTCTCTACCCTACACTCCCTCCCTCCTTCCCCGAGTTGCAGCAATGCACCACTTGCTCCAGAACCTGAAATACATTATAATTCTCTTGACTCCCCGCTCCCTTTCACAAACTGCAGGGCAACATGAAATGACATTCAAGCCTCACAATCTTTAAGGAAAAGGCACACAGAGGGAAAAATCCCTGTAAAGGTTGAGGCGAAGCAATTTCGTGGGAGTCGCAAACCACTGGCAGACAAAATGAAGAAAGACCACTGTGATATTTCACCACTTTAGAAGCTATGCAGCTACTTGGCAAAGCCTGACTTCTCTCAAAGCTGGGGAAAAGAGCTGTCTCACAAACCTGCCCGTGTGAAAATGCTGAAGCACATGATGGATTGGAGCTGTGCTTTGTGCAAATCAGCTATCTCAACACAGCTCCAAGTCATGACCACTTGGCCGAGTCGATCTGTAAACATATCTGAGGGACTTGGGGAGGGGGCACAGGCAGACTGCCTCAGGGAAGAGAGGAGTTCGGCGGGAGGAGTGTTTTTCCCAGATGTGTCCGACAGGGGGCGCTGGATCACAGCTAATGTGTTCCACTTACATGTTTTCCGTGTACAGTACACCACATGGAGAGGGAATGTAGGCTACTGCAGTCTAGTTACATGTCTAGCTCTCGACACCTGCAGGAAAATATTTTTTTACTGATCGTCTCCCAAAACACAGACAGCACATCTCGCAAATGCCCTTCAGCATTCCTGAACCCCTGAACTCCTGTGGACCGTGTTGAAGGCCTGCTTGCACCCATTGATCCAGAAAACTGTGTAATAGATTGGATCCAAGGCATCCCACACTTCAACTCTATATATGACTAGATTTAAACCCATCTAATAAAGAAAATGTAGACTTCAGCCATGTTGTTTATGTCAGTAAATTAACTGCCCTGGGTTTGATTTATTCCTAGTCATGGTGAAATTAACCAGGAAGGAGATTAAATATGTCCTTGTAAACCCTGGCTATTGTTTCCACTTTTATAATGAAGATGACAGGGCAGGGGAGTAGGGAAACATTAAAAATAAAAATATTGGATACTCAATGAGAATAACATTTTACTCTGGATACTGTGTCACAGTCAGAAATATATGGTTCACTATAGCAACAGGTATCACTACCATTTTGAGTAATGTGCATTACCGCTGTATATTTTTCTGGTTTTGTATAACATGAAGGATAAATGGTGCCCTTTTAGAGTTTTGCTCTGGTGGCCTTTATGACATTTTCTTTGATTTTGCTGTAACGTCAGCTCAAAGAGAATTGAACCGAGCACATGACAAGTCAAGTCAATCGCTTTTGAGCACTTACTGAACATGAATGTCATGTGTCTCTCCTGTCTTTGACTAGAAAGGTGACCTCTGCGGTCAGGGACGGCTTGTTCAATAGGGCGATATGGGCGACGCACTGCCAAACGGGAAAAGGAAGGGATTTTTTTTCTAATCAATTATATCACGGCAACAGCAGTTATCAGTGTTCACGTCTGATCTGCCAGCCACTAAATGTCAAATCAGGCTAAAGTCGTGCTTCAAATGGCCCCGCCCATTTTTTGGGCGATTTCAGTCAGGTTGAAAATCGCCCAGAAGTCTCTCATAGCCTGTCATGTAAAATCTATTTTTTTCACATTTCAAAGCTTTCAATACATTCTCTATGGGTGTCTGTGGGCTTGCACTTACGCGCTTTCGTCATACGTGACGTAACGTTGAACGTAACTAAGACAATGGCGGCTATCAGCGTCTCTGTTGTGACCTGCAGTGTGGCGTTATTTTATGTTTTTAATTTGTAGACTTAGTTTACAAACATTCTGCAAACATTCTGCTTTGGACTGATCTTCGGTTTTGGACTGATCTTGTTGATCGTGTACATACCCGCTACGAACGGACTAAATAATGAAAACGCTGCTGGCAGCGGAATCCCAATACAGCTGGGAGACTTGGCTGGATGACAGAGTCCCGGACAGAGAGGTGGAGCCGGCCGGCTTCACCCTGGTCAGAGCGGACCGCGATCCTGGTAAGAGAGCGACTCTGTACCCCGACATTGAACTGCTTTCTGTGTCATTGAACCTTACTATTGTTGATAAAACAAGTTTACTGGAGAACGGAGACCAAGTAGAGACTTTTGGACAAGGTGGATAATTGTATAATATAAGGCAGTTTATTCAGAGGTAAAGATATCTGGAATCGCGTGCATGGACCCGTTCGTCAAACTCGTAGGGAGTTTATCAGAAGAGCCCCTAAACATTGTGTGCTGACATTTTATACAATAAAATGAAGTAGGTTGAATCTAGTAGTTCTGATCTTCTGATTGGTCCTGATGAGTTGGGCGAGGTCACCTCCAGGCTAGTGTCACTGTTGCATTGGCTCTGAGTCGGGTTCTCTGTCTTCAGATGTTCAGCCTAAGAGAAGAGGATTTGTGTGTGTGTGTGTGTGTTTGTTATCAGTGTGTGTGTGTGTGTGTGTGTGTGTGTGTGTTTGTTATCAGTGATGATGTGTGTGTGTGTGTGTGTGTGTGTTTATCAGTGATGATGTGTGTGTGTGTGTGTGTGTGTGTGGGTGTGTGTGTGTGTGTCCTCAGGGCAAGAACTCGTGAGTTGGAAGAACTGAGAGACCTATGGCGTGGGTGTTATCCTTAGCCACCTGCTGACAAGGCTGACAAGATAGGACTCTTGTTCATTGTATTGAATACAAAGGCCCAACACAAAATGGGTCATGCACAAGCTTTTAGTCAGACCAAGCTATAACATTATATATTTACTACGACAGTACATTCAACCAAAAGCTAATATAACAAAGGCATCAGAGATTATTTATAATCTGTCACAGAAACTGGAATCCATCTCCCCAGATCAGTCAATAAATGCTTCTGGTATTGACTTATATGCTGCCCCTGTCTTCATGTTGTTGCTGGACATATCTTTTTTAAAATGTGTGTAGGTCACCTAAATCATCAGAAAAATTGCCCCTCCTGAGAATTTTTTCAGGAGCCGCCACTGTCTGCGGTTAACACGGCCACACCTCTAACTCTCAGGAGAACTGCATGGGTAAAACTTTTTACCGGTCTTCACAGGGGCTTTGTAGGAGCAAGAGAGGGAGCTGTTTGACATGGCAGGCAAGATGAATGTCACACGGTCAATCAGATATTGATCAAAGTGGAGAGGGGCAGATCATGATGGATCGGCGAGGTGGAGAGAATATGAATCACAGCAGGAGAGACGAGCCACATCCCAGAGCTTTGATGAGGAAGAGGAAGAAGACTCATGGTGGAGCAGTGCTCGAGATGAGAAGGAGGAGCAGTGCTCAGTACAGAAGCATAAGCAACGCATCTCAGTCAGTTTGTCACCCCGATTACAACTTGATGGCAGCAGGGGACTCAAAAGAGAGTCTATAGCCTTTGAACCTACTGCTCACACATTCAGGGGAACAAATTAAATGTCTGCCCTGTTCATATAGCCTGCAGCAACAGTTAAGTATTCACCCAACCAGCTGCCATGTGAAGGAATAACAGTGGCAAATTCAACAGCTTTTACATTGAAGAGGCTACTAACAGAACATTTGATTGTCAATCCATTTACACTGCAATGAAACTTCTGTTACCTCACTTCTAAGAACAGTGGACTGCTAAAGTTATGTAGTGTTGCTTCCAAAGTTGCAATGTCTGGCAGCAAATGTGCTCTTTGGATATAGGCTACACAAGACGTTACATCTACCCAAGTCTGACTCCATCATCCACGCAACATCCAATTTAA